ATGAGCAGGATCCTTCCATCCTTTTCTCGGACTGGGACCTGTTCATATACGTTCTTGGCAGATGATCCAGAAGTGGTTTGCCATTGCCTTCTTCTGTGTGTGAATGGAGTAATTGTTGGGATGCCACGGAGGCAAAACTCCGTGTTGCCTAGACCACGGCCTTGCCCAACACAAGTTATAAATTCGGGCACCGCCGGGAATCGAACCCGAGACCCCAGGATTACAAGGCCTCCTAGGTATCGCAGGAAATACCTTCCCTTTGGGATTTCAGACAAAATCTTCGTATACACTTGTCATAAAATTATAATTTTACGTATAAGTAAATAGTTAATAATTATCAGTTGTTCTAACGAGTTTTAAATTATTTAAAAGCAGAGAAGTAAACACAGACGAGAAAAGAAAGTGCTTTAATGGAGATAAAATAACAAGTAGGATTTGAGGTTTTCACGGCGGTGAGTTTGAAGGTGGCTGTCTTCCGGGTTGTTGCGTAGTTGTTAAGTCGGTTAACTTCTACCAGACTACACGGCGCAACAACCCAGAAGACAGCCACCTTCCTAAAATATGAAATTGAAAGAGAAAATTAATCACATTTCGTCTTTTCCAACTTTAAAATTTTCACGGTGTTTTTAGTAATACTAAATAAAAAATATTATGGGCACGAAACCTCTCCAATTTCAATTAAAAACAATTAATTTCTTTGATTATTTACCGACACTTGCACAACAAACAAATTTAATGACTAAGCAATCGTGGAGAGTAGACAAGGCCGAGGGCGGGGGGAGATAACTCCTCATTAAAATAATTTAAGTTAAAAAACGTTACATTAAAAATTGACGTTAAGATCCATTATATTGTGTTGCATTAAATACATTTTAATAGACCATCAAATTCAAAAAAAAAATATCATAGTCTATTAACTTCTAATTTGGAACCGGCAGTGCTCATGCACTTGAAGAACGGGTCGTTCAATTATCATTAACTTCTAATATAAAAATTAATGTAACGAAACGGAAATTATCGTCAAAAAATAGCAACAACTAATGAAGCTGAGCATATAAATCAATAAATTCATATTAAGGACGTGCTACCGAGGGTAAACGCTGTTATTTATTTAATATAAGATTTTGGTGGCTTATTAAAATTTGTTTAATATGTAACGCGGAATTTTGGGCTTGAAAGGTTTGTTTTTAACGACTTAAATAACATAAAATGAACGAGAATTTGTAATCTGACTCAGAACAAAGCAAAGTGGTGGGCTCTTGGGAACACGCTAATGAGACTTCGAGATCCATAACTGGCGTCTGCTGTATGGACAGGGACATATTTTGGACGACTGTAGAAGCAGGCTGTCGTGGCCTGTTTTAAGGCGTGTAAACAGTGCTTGAGACACGGATTACTACGAACTGAACTGAACCAAATAATTTCCACATAAAGCTGGCCGGTATATTTTGAGGTCTACTGCCTCCGTTGTTGTGTCTAACGGCATCATATCGTTACATGATCTACGCAATTAAGGACACAGAAATATCGGAATGTAGGAATGCACTGAACCTCAGAAATCTTCTTCATATTAACTGTTTCAACCTCAGCAAGGAATAATAAC